AGGTTATTAATTGGTCAAAGATTACAAAGCTGTTAACTACAGAAAAGTACAGGATGCAATTCACCTAACTCAAAGTTCTTCCACGATTCTACACTGCCTCTGAGATGGTCCAGGATGGCATAAGGCTAAAGCAATGACAACAGAATAAGGGAAAGAAAAGCTTTCCCATACATTAACTTGCCTATCTTTCAGAAATCTTACTGATTCAATAAATCACAGAATTGCTGAAACACTGCAAAGATGTAAATTTGAAACATGTGTCTGAAACTAGACTAACACGTCAGTATTTCAAAAGTTAGGGGAGTTACTATATGCAACTTCTTAAACTCATTACAGCTAATTCTCCTAAACAGTATTTTTAAAGCTTGATGTAGTTAAGAATATACCAGTTTTCATCTAAAAAATAATTTATTCTTGGGTATAGTTATCAGCTCCTGTGTTTTAAATATTTATTATACATCTTTCCAGTGGCATGCAGAGCTAATATAACTGCCACTGTGGAAACAAAAACCTCCAGAATGCATGTTTGTAATGAGAATCTACTGTTGTCGTCTTAAGATCAGGGAAATTCCATTATAAATTTAGAAGAAAATTCCATTCCTTCTACATCTATGAACTTCCCCAGCCATTAGGCAGTCCTAATGTCATCACAAAATCATTTTGACTCCCCTTAAACATTATGAAAGTTTAATAGGGAATAAAAAACAAATGGTGAATATAATTACAATGTGCAGCTAGTAAAAGGAAAACCAGCATATTAACAAGAGTCACAACGAATAAACTTTGCAGTAAAAAACAGATTTAAGGTATAATATTTAACTTTCTGATATTTCTATAAAATGACAACAAAAGGAAACACGTATTGCCTTATTTCAGTCTTTAAGATTACTGCATTATTTTTTTCCAGATGATTAAGAATACAACACTTGGCCAGGCACGGTGGCTCATGCCTGTAATCCCAGCACTCTGGGAGACCAAAGTGGGCGGATCACCTGGGGTCAGGAGTTCAAGACCAGCCTGGCTAACATGGTGAAACCTCCTCTTGACAAAAAATGCAAAAATTAGCCAGGCATGGTAGCACAAGCCTATAGTCCCAGCTACTTGGGAGGCTGAAGCAGAATGGCTTGAACCAGGAGGCAGAGGTTGCAGTGAGCCAAGATCGTGGCATTGCACTCTAGCCTGGCGAGACTCTGTCTCAAAAAAGAAAAGAGAATACAACATTTATTATTTATTTACATATAAGTCAGAAGTCGCAAATTCGAGGCCTACAGGCTGAATTCATTTGGTAGCCTAGGAATACAGCAGTGAACAGATACAAAAACCCTTCCTTAAAAAATGTATGTGGACATGTCTGTATTATTTGGGTCACACAGTTTTTAACCTTCATTTTAAAGAGTTGAGATGACATTTAAAATTTGGAAGATCTCATTAAAGAACCCACAGTTTGGATTTCTTTTTAACAATGGGGAGGACACATACTCTCCTATGGTAACAACAGATTACAACTGAGCTGCACCCACTAACTTCCACCAGGCCATTTTATTTGCTCAATCTCCACTCCGTTTCACACAATTACTTCACCTGTTTGGTCCTTGTACCAATATTTGAATTTATAACTCCCGATATAAATAAAACATTCAACAAACCTGTAAGCAGTTAAGTTTGGTCATGTTTCTGAATCTTGATCATTAACAGAAGGGAATTATAGCAAGGTTTTGGAGTCTCAGCAGGTATAGGCCTCAGATTCTATATGTCTTTGAAGCCTAGTATTTGTGCAGTCATTTGTAACCTCCAGCAGCTAGGGCTTTTGGGACTCATTATTTTAAAGCCAATTTCCCTTAAGACTTTTAAATACAATATTCACGTTGTAATTTATTTCAACCATAATGGAGAGTAACTAGCTGTTTCTACAACGACCACTGTGAAACCATACTGTTGTAGTAAATGCACTGGACTTGGAAATGAACTCTCCCTATACCTGATGCCTACATCATTTTAGCTTTGGCTAAAAACTACTGTGATCATTTTCTACTGAGGGTAAATAGAGTTAACATGCCTTCTTTTCCCTGATTCCATCTATTTTTTGTCTTTAACCAAGTATTTTTACTGGATTCAATATGATTCATTACCAAGGCCAAAAATATCTGAGCAAAACCTTATGCTACACTATTCCTAGTTGTGATTGCCATTTATAGAGAACTATATATATAGAACTGTAAAATGTAGTTTTCGATTGATTGCTAAGAAAGGTAAGTTAAAATGCCACAGAATCTAGCAGAAGCAAGCAAAACATCACTTGCTGTCAAAGGTCTTTAGGAAGCGGAAAACCCTCTGCATGGTCCTGAGGCTCCAGTAGATAGCCCTGGCCTTTGCAGGGTTAGAAACTCAACCTAATGCTGACACTATTCAAACTCTCAAGAGGCTGATATCCATTAAAATGCCACTGCTATGGTTTCAATGTCTGTGTACCCCTCCCAATTCATATGTGATATTACCAGGTGATTAGGTCATGAGCACAGAGTCCTCAAAAACAGAATTATTGTCCTTATAAAAGGGTCCCAAGAGCTGCCTTGTTCCTTTCCATCATGTGAGGACAAAGCTAAAAGGTACCATCAACAGACACTGAATCTTATCTTGGACTTCTGGCCTCCAAAACTGGGAGAAATAAATTTGTTGTTCATAAGCCATCCAGTCTATACTATCCTGTTAGAGCAACCAGCATGAACTGACAGCCACTTTATTATTTAAGGAGGGCAGTCATTTAAAAGCTAAGACATAACGCTTCGATCAGGCTTCTCTGGACCTGAATAACAGGTCCATAGACTAATAATTATTTAGTGTCTATGCTGTATGGGACACTGTACTTGTTACATACCATATTTAATTTTGACCATTTTTAAAGTAGGTATTTATCACCCCACGTTTATAGATGAATGAAAGAGACTGCGACTTTCCAGAAGTGGCCAAGCCACTGCATTCTATTCTCTCTCTAGTGATTAGAGGGCTGTCAGATTTACTCTCTTCCTCAGGGTTTACCATCAGCCTCTCCTTCCTCCATGCTGTTCCTCCTATATTCCCTGTCTTGGTTGGTGCCAACTGTAATGACAAACTCTCCTAAACTAGAAACCCTGGTAATTCATTTAAAAAACTGCAAAATTAGCAGAACTTCCAAAATCACTTTTGGAAGTCTTTCTCCCTCCCCCTTATCATCTTACAATCAAACTCTCCTCACATCTGGATAAAATTTTCAGGGTCAAGGAGTGTATACTGTTAAACCCAACCTACATTCATACTTGCCACTTCATTTCTGCTATATAGAGCTACAAAAATATGGTCAAAGGCATGTGCCATCCCTTTCTAAAAGCTCAGAGACTGCTCCTTTATAAACTTCGTAACTTTTTTTCTGACAGAAAATTGCTGATTATTTTAAAAACAACAACAAAAAAACAGCTTTATTAAGGAATACTCTACATGACAAAGTTTACTCACTATAAGTATACAATTCAATGATTTCTAGTAAATTTATAAAATTGTGCCACCATCAACACCAACTGGCTTTAGAATGCTTCCATCAGCCCCTCAAAAATTCCCACACACCAGCCTGCAACCAGTATCTTCTCCAACTCCCAGCCCCTGGCAACCACTGATCGGCTTTCTATGATTGCTTTTATATTCAAAATATTTCCTAGGTATGCTAATCACCTTGCTTGGACTTAGAGTAATCCCAGATCTCTTCAGTCACATATTTCTAAAACATCTTAAGAGTGAGCTGCTTTCACAGACAGCTAGTGTTTGGTGCTGATTCTGGGGGCACCTTACTGTGTCCTTTAGCAGTAACATGCATGCTTTGGTATTTGTCAGTGCTGAAGTTCAAGTTTATAGCTGAAACCAGAGCTACACTCATCATTAAGTTTTATTTAAGATGTTTCCTACCGTATAATGTCATAAATAAGGCCTCTTTGATACTATCTTTTTGTAGTTCCACGTTATAAAAATCCTAAAAAGGTTGAATAAGAAAAATCCCAAGCTTGATTGTTCACCTGAAAGCCTCTTCTTAGTTTGAAATTACCTGAAACAGTGAGGGGCTGGGATGAAAATATAAGTGAAATTTATAGATTATTTCACTGATCATATTTCAGTATTATTTTCAATTTCCTCTCTCTCAAATAGCACATTTAGTTATCCAGAACTTCCAATTTTTATTTTGTCAGGAGACCGGTGAAATATTAACAACATTTTAGGACCTCTGCTGTGTTACAGAATTTTTAATTACAGAATCTAAGAGGGGAAAAAGACAATTCTCTTCAGAAATCTGTCAGAATCTCCAGGAATGCATTATTTTAAAATGCAATGGATATGATGGACTATATAATTTCCTAGTTTGCTTCCACATCAATAAAACAATTTTCTAGAAAGACTACTGGTTTATTTTACACATACACTAACAAACGGGAAACATGGTTATCTGTTCACTTGTCTGGCTCATTGCTAATTGATTTCCTTAAAAGCAGGGGTCAGCAAACTAAGGCTGTGGGTCATTTCAGCTCTCCACCTGTTTTTGTACTGCCTACAAGCTGAGAATGAATTTTGTCCTTTTAAATGGTTGGAGGTGGCTGGGGGGAGAATATTTTCTGACGCGATTATATATCATTCACACTTCAGAGTGAAACTTTTTAGGAACACAGCCACACCCATTTGTTTACACTTAACTCCTTCCACATTACAATGGAGAGGTATGAGGAGTTGCTACAGAACCTTCTGGCTTGCAAAGTTTAAAGTATTTACCTGGCTCTTTACCAAAAAGATGTTTTCTCTACTTAAAGACACATTCTGATAGGGAAAGAGCTTTGCATTTAGAAAGCAGTCTTTCTCAGAAAAAAAATGGAAACTTTTGGGTTTAAGGCTCAACAGGAGTATTTGAAAAGATCAGTTTAATCCCATTCCCCTTTTCTTTACGGATTTTCTACCTAAAATCCTTAACTTTCTCTAACTAGTTCAGCATGTTGAAGATCAACTCTAATGAAGATTATAAAAATAGGTAACAACTACCAGCTGCTGTCTCCTCTCTCCACACCCAGGACTTAAATTGTGGAGCTGAGATACTTGAACTCTGCAGACTCCTGGGTTCAAATCTCAGCTTCCCCTTTAATAGCTTTGGAAACACTGGGTGAGTTGTCCTCTCCTGTTTCATCTGTAAAATGGAGAGAGCAGCAGCCATTTCTGAGTTATGAGAAATTAACTGGAGAAACTATATTCTGAGAACGGTGCATAGCACACAGTGAATGCTCAATAAAGGTCAGTAAAATTAGATTACCTTTTTCAACATTCCCCATCCCAACTTGCCACAGATAAGAAAAGCATGGTTCAGAAAGGATATGAAACAGTAGCAATTAACTGGCTTTACTTTCAGTTAATTATGCTAAAACTAAGCAACCAGATGATAGAAATTGGAAGCTGGAGGAAAGTTAGAAACCTTCTGAAGCATGTCATGTTTCTAGGTCTTAAAATAGTTACTTGCCATCCCTATAATTAATAATCCAGTTTGTTTTAAACCCTGGCAAGTGGAATTAGCCAAGGGAGGCACCACTTCCCAACCCTTAAAGTACCAGGGAGGGTAGGTATCTATTTGCATCTCATAGAACCTTCTGATGGAAAAACACCTAGTTCACAGATACACTTTTCCTTAGAAATAGAAACCATCCCCTCAGGGCATTCCCATAGACTACACACTCCACCAGATCCCCAGTGTTGGACAGACCAGAGTGTGTTTTCCATTGCACCAGAAGATAGGACAAAGACAAAGTACAAAGACTCTGCTGCAGGGAACAGAGTATGTAGGCATCTAGTGCAGAAAGGGTTAAAGGAACCTGCCCCTAGCAGAGGTGGTTTTGTTTTGTAATGATTCTGCTAAAATGGAATCCAGTGGAAGCAAGCTTTCATATCTTATTTTTAATCTCCTCCCTCACCAAAACAAAGGATAAAAACCCAAATAACTTTTAAGAGTGCTGGGTTGATTAATAAACACTGCTATTGTAATTTCATCCAACTTTTTATACTGAGTTGTGACTAAATGCTATTAAAAAATCTACATGGGACGCCGGAGGTCATGGAGCTCGCGAAGGCGAGGTCATCAGTTCAAGGCTAACCTCAGAAGCTCAAACTGATTGGCAAAAAAAAAAAAAAAATCTACATGGGAAAACAGTTTGATCCATACAACCAACTTTCTAGTTTTTGTGCAAAATATGTAACAAGCCAAGTTTTCAGTGACACAAGCAATCTCTGCTATCTTCTTGTATTACCTGACCAATTTATTTTGCTGTGTCAAATGATGTCCTGGTTGTGGAATCAGGTCTTCATTTGCAGTAAGTTTTAAGGATATGTTTTTGTTCTCCCCCCTCAATATTATGCCTTATTTTTTCTTGTTTCATTACATGACTTCCAAGTTCACTATATTTCAATAATACTTACATTTGTTTATTAGAAAATAGACTAGTCATTTAACTTAGGAAGCCGGTGTGTTAGTGCATAATGAGTTGGTTATTTCCCCAAAACCCTGGCAAGGCAATTTCATGATCTCTTGTTTGTTGGATGCAATACCAAAAGCCTCTAACTAGACAGACTGAAATGTAAGTTAACTGTCTGGCTTCCTGACTCGAGTGTCAAGTAGCAAGTTCACATAGTCTAGCTAAGGTTCAGTTCCTGCATTACACTGACATTACTACACAGGATTACCTTAAAACCGATATTAATCTAGATAGGCATTCACGATTAAACCTCAAGTGATATTTTGGGCACCAACATACCTAGGACTATCTTCATGTCTCATAGACTGTTTTTCGGAGGATTTAATTTCTTTTCATAATTTTTGGCCTTATTTCCTTTCACTTTTATTGTTTCTAAACCTGTTTATTTTTCCCACTACTTAAATAGAGAACAGAAAAGGGAAATTAGTCTAGAGAAAAGTGTGCAATAATCCAACCAGGTAACATTATTTTCCAAGCCACATATATTTTACTAACATTGTTTAGAAAAGTGACTGTTAAAATTCAATTTTCTTAGTTTTCTGTTAGAGTTAAATAACTCGAGCACATTTCATCATGCCCCTTTCCTAGAAGACAGTTGCTAGAGATAAAATGTAAAAAAGGTCTGTACAGGACACTGGGCTGGGTGAGGGTGTAGTAAAATAAACAGCTGGCTGGGCACATTGGCTCATGCCTGTAATGCCAGCACTCTGGGAGGCTGAGGCGGGCGGATCACGAGGTCAAGAGATCGAAACCATCCTGGCCAACATGGTGAAACCCCGTCTCTACTTAAAAAAAAAAAAAATTAGCTGGGGGTGTTGGTGCATGCCTGTAGTCCCAGCTACTTGGGAGGCTGAGGTAGGAGAATCACTTGAACCCGGGAGGCGGAGGTTGCAGTAAGCTGATATCTTGCCACTGCACTCCAGCCTGGTGACAGAGCAAGACTCTGTCTCAAAAAAAAAGAGAAAAAAAACAGTTCCTTTCAATGAGCCTACATTCTACCTGGTGCTCCAATACATACCCAGAGATAGGGGGAATATGCGGGAAATATTTTGTGTGCCAAATTCCTCTAGGCTTGCTTTTTCTTCTAGGCCCCCATCTGCCCAATAGCAACCCAAAGCCTCTTCATTTGCTAGGTCGAATCAACACCAATCCATTTCAGAATGCTTTCTACTTCTACTGATTTCACTTGAATTCTTACTAAATTCTTCATAACTTACTAAATATTTAACTTTGTGTTGTTACTCGATTGCATTTGTCCATAACTTCCGATTAAACTGTAAGCTTCTAGAGAAACTATTCTAAATGCTTTGTAATTTACTTCTTACCTAACCCAGTACAAGTATGCGATAAACTTTCAGGAAACGAATCCACCAAGGCACTTCACAGATGGCACGAATATGTACCCTGGAAACACTACATGCCTTTTAGTTCCTCTTTAGTAGAATGCAGCTGCACGCTGTATATGTGGCTATGCAAAGTTAGCTAATATCCTACTACTCCCAGTTTCTTCACCACCAAGTCTACTAATTTTCCAAAAACACAAGGTTAGCCCGAGGTTACTTCAGGGTTTCCATCTGTCAAGAAGACGCGGAATAAAATCCTCAGATTACCAACAGATCTCTGTAAACAGAAAAAGTTTAAAAATAAATGAGCTGTACAGCGTCCCAGACTCTCCCTTAAAAGGGAGATTAGTTGGTGTCAGGATTAAACAGATCTTTACAGTATTTCAGTTTCCCCTCCCGCTGATCCTGACACTCATTTGTCCCACCTACCTGCGGAGGAGAGTACCGGAAAGGGGTTGCAAGGGCACGCCCACCCTCCCAACAGCGAGCAGGGGGCAGGCCGCGGCCCGAAGCCTGCAAAGCTGGGTCTGCCGGGGCGACCCCCGGGTGGGCTCGGCCAGCAGCCGCTGTGGTACCCGCGAGCGCCCCCGCTGGCCCAGCTGATGGAGGCCACGTGACGCCCGGCGGCCAATCGGGAGGGCCCGGGGCGGCTGAGCGCGGTGGCGGCGGCGGGGCCTCCCCCGGCACAACAAACACCGACAGGAAACAGCTGAGCCGGTGGCCAGCGGGCTCCCAGGGTCCGAAACCCGGCGGGCTGCCCAACTGTCACCCCGCGCCGTCAGCCTCGGGTCCTCCGAGCAGGAGGGCGGAGCAGGCGGGTGTTCATACTATGGGGCCAAAAGGGAGACATCGCCCCCGCCCGGGGGCTGGGCCGCTGGGGCCGGGCGTGGGCCCTGCTCAGGATAGTTCACGCTGTGCGGTCATCGCGGCCCAAACAACTCGGTCAAGTTCCGTCTTGGTTTTGGGGCGGGGCCCGGGCGACCCTGCGGGCGGAGACCGGGCGCGCCCCCGACGCTGCGGCGGGTGGGGGCAGGGCGGCAGCGGCGCTGAGGGTTGGGGGTCGCGGCCAAACCGTCCGCCCAGGGGGCGCAGTGGGCCTCGGCGGCGGGCCTCGGAGGGCGCAGCAGCGAAGCGGGGCGGGGACGCGGGCGCCTCGCGGAGGGGTCGCGGCTGTTGTCGCCGCGGTCGCCCGGCTGCGGGGCGGGGGCGGGCCGACGGCGGCCGCCGCGCCAGGCCTCACAAAGAGCAGACAGCCCCGCGCGTCAGCCTGCGGTCCCGGTGCCGGGGCCCGCCCTGAGGGGCCGGAGGCGGCCGCGCCGGGACCCCGGGAGAAGCGCGGCGAGGAAGAGGCACTTCCTGCCTGGGCCCCCAGCCCTGGGCCGATCCTGAGTGCCTCGAAACCGCCCAACCTGGACGGGTTCGTCAGTGCCCCCGGCCCCGAGCCCAGCCCCTCTCGCGGGACTCACTCTGAGCGGCGGCGAGATCCGCGGCTACCAGCGGCTCCTCGGTCCTCAGCTGGTTTGAAGCCCCTCGGCCACCAGTCTCCAGGTTTAGTCAGGCCCTGGCCTTGGCCCCGCCTCTCCCTGGTTGGGCCTCAACGTCAGTCACCCGGCGTGGCTCCGCCCCTCCTGCAATTGGCTCTCCCGGTTGGCCCGGAACACCCTTCATTTCTAGGCCCCGCCCCTCGCCTCGGCTCCCGGTCTTTTCCACTGGACTCCGCCCCTTCTCTGGCTCCCCCTCCCCCACTCCCTCACCCCTCCGCTTTGCGGCCCACCCCTCCCAGAAGCTGCAGACCCAGGGCAGGCTTGCGACAGCTCGCCCCGCCCCTGACCCCCGCACCTCGGATTCGTACAGCCAATCAAAGAGGCTAACTCTGCCCCCTCTTCCGAGGGGGCCAATGCGGTGAGACTGAGGACCCACCTCCTCCTTTCAGCTGAGAGCACACAACACAGCATCCACGTGAGTCAGCTTCTTAAAGGAAAAGGCTCAGCCTTTCTAATTGCCGCAGCTGCGAATCATTAGCGTCACCAGGTGGTGGCTAGGGCCGAGCTTCCTGATACCTAGTGAGGCCCAGCGATGACAAATGAAAACAAGTTTCCTAGACAAACAGCTACCTATGTAACTAAAGTGCACCGTGTAATTTGTTTCTTTGAGGCTGTTTCCCCTGACCAACCCTGGTAGAGGGCTGCCTTTTGCTTTCAAACCTCTAGCCCTTCGAGTCTGAGCACAAAGGCACTCTAAAAAAAAAATATGTGGATAAAGGATTTTTCAACTGTGCTTGACTTTATTTACAATCCATTGAGTTTTTTTTTTTTCTGGGTAGTGAAATGATTCTCAAAAAGATGAACAAATTCAGTCTTCCATATGACGAATTTCTGCCTCAGAGTGAGATTTGCTCATTGAAAAGGGCAGCTGTTCCCTTAATCCTCATCAAAACGCTTAAGATGGAAGGTTTTGCTTCTCATTCCATTAGAGTTGCCCAGGTAATTACATCTCAGTTGGCTGACTTAGGATAAAGCAAAAATATTTGATGACGCATACCTCTCACATATAAAATGTAGGTTAACATTTGGGGCTAGTTTGCAAGATATTTAAAGTCATTCTTGGTGGAAGAGAAGTTCCGAAGCAAATTCTAGCGCTTGACTCCCGCTTACCCCCAAATCCATAAGTATTTTCATTCAGTTCGTATAAAGTTAACCTGAGCACCAAAGGGAAAAGGACTGGTTATCTTTTGGTAAGTGAGTTTTCCAGGAGACAAGGACATTTTAAGACAGTATTTTAGTTTCTTTTCCTTTCTATTTTCAATTAACATTAGTTAATATAAAAGTTATGCATTTATTGTAGGAAGGTCATACTGCCTCATTTGATAACAGATTCCTGTCTTTTGTTAACAACTTCATGTGTATCTTCTATTCTTCCCAAACTGAATGTAGAAGCATATTGTACTTCTTGTTCTTTAACCTGCTTTTTTTCACTCAACAGTGTGCTATAGCCATCTTTTCATGTCTGATGTATATTTTATCTACACATTTACCTTTGTTTCCATGGTAGGCGTTCACCATCTTTTTTTTTTTTTTTTTTTGAGACGGAGTCTTGCTCTGTCGCCCAGGCTAGAGTGCAGTGGTGCGATCTCCACTCGCTGCAACCTTTGCCTCCGAGGTTCAAGCAATTCTCCTGCCTCAGCCTCCCAAGTAGTTGGGGCTACAGGCACCCACCACCATGCCTGGCTAATTTTTTGTATTTTTAGTAGAAACAGGATTTCACCATGTTGCCCAGGCTGGTCTCAAACTCCTGGCCTCAGGTGATCTGCCCTTCCTCGCCTCCCAAACTGTTGGGATTACAGGTGTGAGCCACCACACCTGGCTTTCACCATCTTTTACTAAACATTTTTCTACTGTTTTACTAAACATATTTTCATATGCAGCTTGCCTTCAATCTTTGGAATTAAAAATACTTTTGTGATCGACACCTGTGTACATGGATAAAATATTCAAGTATTTCTCAAAATAATCACTTGAAAAGAGAGTACAGTAAGTACTTTACATGTATTGTTAAATAAATATTGTCCCCATTGTTTTACCTGGTGCTTAAAGTGTTCATTTCTATCATACAAATTCACAAAAGTTATTACTAGTTTGTAATGTTTGCTTTTCTAAAGAATGGGCATTCAATTTTATTAAATATCTTTTAGTGTCCATTGAAATGACCATGTTTTTTCCCCTTATTCTATTTTTATATGTATTATAGTAGCCCATCTCCACCATTAAACTAGCTTTGTGTTTCTGGGAAAAAACTCCTTTGTCATTTGACATATGCTAACACCGACATTCTTTGAGTAAATAAAATCAAAAACAGGAGTATACCAATATCCACCAACATACCCTGTTGCTTTATTCTGGTTACTGACTATACTTTCTGTCTGAAACTGTCTGCTGTGTCCCCAACAGATGACTCTATTTAATAACTACAGACCCTGAGTCAGGCTTTCAGAATACCCTTCTTTTTATTTATTTAGTAGAGATGAGATCTTGCTATGTTGCTGGCGTTGGTCTCGAAATCCTGGACTCAAGTACTCCTCTCTCCTCTGCCTCCCAAGGTGCTGGGATTACAGGCATAAGCCACTGTGCCTGGCCAGAATGCTCTTCTAATGGTGCTTCCATGGACTTCTCGTTTACTCTGATTTTCTTTCTCTTGTTTTTGGAGCTGTTCTTTAGAGGTGAGACCACTTTTCAAGTGGGTGAAATCAGCTGTGAATCTCCCATTGCCTCTGTGTACTTCCCACAGCCTAGTAAATCTTCTCCTTGCTCCTCAAGCCCTGAAACATTTGGGCCTCCACTCACCTGTCTTACTCTCTGTGGGGAGTCTTGCCTCATAATTTAGAGTCAGATGAAGACTGGTGGAAATGAACTGCCTCACATTTTCTCTGTCTCACCATATCTTCCTGTGTCACCTGTTTTCTGCAGGTTTGGATAAAAGATAGTCTCTCCTAATAATCCTCAAAGCCTGATGGACACCTATTCCTGGAGAACATTCTGCATTCTGAAACTCATTCTGTCCTAAATGGATCCCGTATCTCCTCTGAACAGCAGTGAAAAACAACAAACATTCCTGTAGGCCTAGGACTGTCACTTTCCTTGTATCTGTTCATGGACCACAATACCTTGCCTGCTTCCGTGGCCACAAGTGTTTACCATGTCTCTCTTATCTGTGCCCTGCATAGAAGTGATCTGCCCTCACATCCAACACTCCAGTTTAGACCCCAGTAACCTCTTACTGGTCGGTTTGAATAGCCTTTTAGTAACTTCCCTCTATCTTTCCGCTTGCTTTATATTGACATCATATTCACTGTTTCCCCTGCATCTTGCTGCCTGTATCATGGATGATGTCTGCATCACAAGGACCAGGATGCCATCTAGGGACAAGAGAGCAATGATCTGGGAGGAACTCGGGTCCCGAACATTGTGTGGAGTACAGCTGTCCTAAGCCTGGGACTGCACTGTGTGTGTGTTTACTTTAACCTGAGCTTATGAGAGCTCTGGGTAAGGTAAATAAAAGAGCTTTTTCAGCAAGTGTCTTGGTCAGTTTGGGTTGCTATAACAAAAACGCCATATACTAGTGGCTTAAATAACAATTTATTTCTCATAGTTTTGGAGGCTAGGAAGTCCAAGATCCAGGCACTGGTAGATCTGGCATCAGGTGGGGGCCTGCTTCCTGGCTTGTAGAAACAGAAAGTAAAATGGTATTTGCCAGGGGCTGGGTGAAATGAGTTATTGTTTAATGGGTATAGATTCCATTTTGTAAGATTTAAGTTAAAAGAAAAACTGTAGCCAAATTAAATTTAAAGGAGTTTAATTGAGCAACAAATGATTCACTCCCAGAATCATAGCAGATTCAAACAGACTTCAGTGCAGGACATGGTACGAGAAGATTTATAGACTAAAAAAGGGGAATGATATACAGAAATCGAAAGTGAGGTACAGTACAGCTGGATTGATTACAGGTTGGTGTTTGCCTTATTTGAGCACAGTTTCAACACAACAGTATATTCATGGTTGAAGTATGGCCTCTGGAATTGGCCAAGACTCAGCTATTGTTACAGGCGCATACTCCCAAGTTACATTTTCAGTCTTACCTACGTATTAAAAACCTAGGTGACAGTTCATCCACAGAGACTAAACTATATAAGTACAGAGTCCTTCTCAGGCCATATTAGTTCACTTTAACAAAGATGAAAAGTTCTGGAGATCTTTTGCATCACAATGTGAATACTTAATGTGACTGAACTGTACAACTAGAAATGATTGAAATGGTCCTTTTTTTTAGATATGGGGTCTTGCTCTGTTGCCAAGGCTGGAGTACAGTGGCATGATCAAGCTTGCTGAATGTGACCTTGGACTCCTTGGTTCAAGTGATCCTCTTCCTTCAGCCTCTCAAGTAGCTGAAACCATAAGCATGTACCACTATGCCTGGCTAATTTTTATTTTTATTTTTTGTAAAATAATAAAACAGTGAGACAGGTCTCGCTAGGTTGCCCAGGCTGGTCTTGAACTCCTGGCCTTAAATAATTCTCCCACCTTGGGTTCCCAAAGTGCTGAGATTACTGGAAGGAGCCACCATGCTGGAGATGGTGCGTTTAATGTGTATCTACCACACTTTAAGAAGCTAGGTTTTCTAATGAAAAGGAAGATAGGAGAGTCAGAGAAGGAAATGTGACCATGGAAGCAGAGATGACAGACGTAGGGCCAGGGGCTAAGGAACGGAGGCAGCCCCTAGGAGCTAAAACAGGCAAGGAAATAGTCTCTCCTAGAGCTTCCAGCAGGAACACAACTCTGCCAGTTTAGCCTCTATTTTAATTTAGTAAGGTCCATTTTAGACTTTTGACCTCCAGAACTGTAAGATTATAAATGGGTGTTCTTTTAAGCCACTACGTTTGTGGTATTTGTTATGGTGGTGATAAGAAACTAATATATTTATTACCTGTTTTCCTAAAGTCGCATTTTATATTTTACTAATTACTTGGTGCTGCATATAATTTATTTTAATTTTGTAATACACATAACTGTATTCTTTCTAATATACCTTATTTCTGGTAGCCTGACTCGAGCTAGTGTTCAAGTGCTCAGGTAAGAGAGCCTTAGTTCACCACCCTGTAGCTCTCACCTGCGTCTGGTCGAACCTACCAAGAGGATAATCTAATATTTCCCCTAAACTATGTTAAAAACAAAAACTATGGTAAAATATTGACAAACTTTTCCAACAATAAACACTTGACATTTCAAAATCTGAGTCTTGGGATAAGGAGTGATAAATGTCGCAAGTTAGGAGGGACCACTTAGCAGAATAAAATGGTGGTGAGAAAGTCAAGCTTTTGAGTTGGTTAGCTTGAGGTCAGACCTCAGCACTGACAGACACACTGTCTGGCCATGGGCGAGAGCATCACATAATTACTAAAAGTAGTCCTAACTTAGGCAATTGCGAGCATTAAATAATGCAGCTGCCTTAAGTGTTTAGGTAACATCCCTGGCACCTATTATGGACTCAATAAAAGCTGCTGCTGTGTTGGTTCTTATTGTTATTTCTGTGATTCTTGATTATGAAGCTGAGTGCAAGGTGAGCAGCTTTTGCTGTCTTCTGTGTACCATGTACATTACAGAGTGTTAAGGTCACCTCATAGACTGCCAGCCAATGCGTGATAGCTCTCTTTTGTGGTTCAACCCTGAATGGAGAGAATACTTGAAATATTGCCAAAAGTCTGACTGATTTATATCATGGAAATGAAAAACTAGTCATTTGACTTCTTTCCACACCTATCTGCACACAAAAGGTCAATAGAAAGGTCTCTGGGCTCTAAACGAGAATCCTCTCAAAGAGATTACAGTAGTTCCCCCTGACCTTCAGTATTATGTTCCAAGAATATTACATGGAAAATTCCAGAAATAAACAATGTATAAGGTTCCCCCCACCACATAACATGGATGTACAATTTATAAGTTTTAAAGTGCATGCTATTCTGAATAGTGTGATAAAATCTGGCTCTGTCCTGCCCTGTCCTGCATGGGACATGAATCATCTCTTTGTCCCAGCTGTATACACTTCCTGTCCATTACTGTACAGGAAAACATATGATGAATATAGGGTTCAATACTATCCATGGTTTCAGGCATCCACTGGGGGTCTTGTAATGTATCTCCCATGAATGGGGGGAGGATTACTGTGCACACACTCCTAGTGACCACCATTACCAACGATAGTCATTTAGGAGGACACACTTTAAACATAAACATTTAAGACACAAGCAGATTATTGGAAGAGAAGAACATGAAACATTTTTTAATGCCCCAAACCAAAAAAACCCACCAAGCAGATTATGTGAACTGATATATTATGATGTCCAAAAGATGTTATTAATTGGGAAATGCAAGCTATGTAGAATTATATGTAAGGTGTGATTTGATTTTTGTGAAATCAGATCATATATATTTACATGTGTACAGACATCTGAAATATTCACTTTCTACACTGTCCTGGTTTTCATAAGCATATTTTACAGTGCATATGTTTAACATTAGCAATTAGAAAAGCGGCTAAGATAAATGTTATTGCCACAGGTATTTTAATTTCAGTTTGTCCTTGGCTGTTACAGAGAATTGATAGAAAAAAATGATCATGTGAAGAATCTGCATCTTCTGCAAAACTGCCAGTATCAGTCAGCACTAGTAGGTTGTAAGCAGCAGAAATCCAGCTTGAAGGAGCTGAAACATAAGAAGGAAATTTATTGGCCCATATCACTGAAGAACAGGAAGGGTGGATGGATCTGGCCTTAGGAAACTTATAAGCAGCCAGGATTGGCTGGCTCTGTCTCTACTTCTCTTTCCTTTGTAGGTTGACCCATTGTGCTCCGTGTTTACATCCTTGTGGCTTCCTGACTGGAAAGTCTTATCCCTGTAAGCTCAAGTGGAGAGAGTCCCAGAGAAGGATTCTGTTTGGCTTGTCTGGATCTGGGACTAATTGCCAAGGTTAGGTGTGTGGGGTCTTCTCATTGGCAGCCCCCATACCTCCCTAGCACCATAAGGCTAGAGTTGGGGAAATGGCATTTTCCAAAAGAAGCATGGCTCGACTCTGGGCAGATAGAGCTGTATTATTAGTATGTACCTTGCAGGGATACCTTGCAGCATCTGTTATAAAAGTTCTTTGGCAATTAACTTGCCCTTGAGCAAAGACTCTGAGACAGGACGGGTCAGTGTGCATGGGAAAGATAAGAAGACTGAGGAGCTCTGTTTAACAGAATAATATCTGTATAAGAAAGTAGCCACAGACAAGGTTGAAAGCTTCTCAGGCTGAGAACAGATAATAGACAGGCCATAAGTTCCATTTGAAGAAGTTTAGCTAGACTAATTCATTTCTTTTAAAGTTTAATTACAAGTAGCTTTATTTTTTAACCCAAAGACTTTAAAGTCTTGAGAGCCTCAATTTCAAGTTTTACAAAACCTGGGTTTTCAGGATCAGAAGCCTCACTGTTGGAAAATGAATACTGTATGTAAATCTTTATTAAATGTCAATCAAATGATTCTGTTAAACATATATTGGTGACAAGACTGAGTGACTTAGGAGTTCTATCAAGATACCTTTACATCCTTACTGTAATTCTGAATTTTAACTGGTACCGTCTAAGTAAGTTTTGATATGAAAAGATTTTATCCTATGGAGTTCATAGGAAGCTCTTTGTTTTGACGAAGGTTGTAATCAGTAAGCTGAGAAGTGGCTCATGGCTAGTACATTTTTTACCTCTGTGGGTGTGTTCCTTGGCTCCAGTGGACTTTGGAGAATGAGTAAATGGATGGCTTCTTGGGGGAAGAGAGAGAGAGAAGAGATACAGAATTTCAAAGATACAAAGATAATAACCACACGGTGAATGGAATCAGGGATCAATGTTTGTTTATGTAATTGTAAATAGCCTTCTCTTTCTCCAGCGCCATGGCCATTGTGTTCCACTGTGTTCCTGGGAAGCCTCATGTCATCTAACATGTACAGGAAGAGAGGGTTAACTGTGTCCACTATAACAGCTCTGTTTCACAAGTGCAGCTTGGATCAGTTAGAATTCTGCAGAAAAACTTCAAGCAGGGCTGAGATTTGTCTTTTGTGGACTGGCTCTCTGAATTTCAAGATGAACATACCACAGATAACAACCAGTGACTCTGGTGATGCCGCATGGCAGTTCAGTACACTGGCAGCCTTGCTTCTTTTCTATTCTTTTTTTACATTTTCTCAGAGCAGTGCCATATCATGGTGTTTATTTCCTAGAAAGCATTGAGAAATATTAGAGCTTTCTTTTTTTAATCCAATGAGTGATATATCTTGAATATAGAATAGACATATGTGTAGTATTTTGTGTGAGCAAAGCTGAAAAGGAAGACAAAGGGTAAGAAAGCTTTGATAAAGGGAAGGAAATGGTTGGAGAACTTTTTAAAATTTCTGAAGACATGAGGACTTTTTTTTAGCAAAAAAAGTATCAAGAAGTATTTAGTATTTAGTTGGCTCTGTTCTTCACGAAGTAATGCTTTATGCTCCCAAATAAATTACAACATCATCATAACCATAATGATAGTATTGGTATAGTATTTACTACGTGCTACTCAGTATTCTAAGTATTTTTACCCATATTGATTTATGTAATCCTCACAACAACCGTATGGAATGGATCTATTATTGACCCCATCTTAGATGCAGATGGAAAATCTGAGGCTTAGAAGGGTCGAGTAATCTGTCTATAACTGAGTACCCCATTTTTCTAAGAAAAAGGGAATGAGTTATTTTTTAAATTCTTTTCTTTTCTTTTTCCTCCTTTCCCCCGTTCCCCACTTCCTATTTATTTCTTTTGAAATGTAGTTATCACCTTTGCCTTCCCTTCACTAGACACTGTCAACACAGCAAGCTTACCTAACTGTGCTTACTGAGAAGCTCCAGAGCCAGAACCTGCTCCCACTAGGAGAGTGTCTCAGGAGACAATAGTCTGTTTACATTTATAACCAAAAGGTATGCCCACGACAGAACTCTCCCCTACCCCGACAGTATCACAGACAATGGCCAGTTTACAATCTAGCTCTGCCTGCGATAGCACCAGCTTGACCTCTTGGTAGATATAAGGCACCAATGCCAGTCACACAAACCCCCACCTGCTCACTTCCTGTCCTGCATGCTGCTCATGCCAAGTAACCTGCTTTCTGCCCCAAATGTGAAGCGGTATCCTTCAAGGCAGGAGCCTGTACTTCTTCCCCTAAGCTAGCTTTGGAATCAAAAGTGACTTTCTTTATAGCAGACCTTGCTCTTGTCCATTGGACTCTGCAAGCAGCAAGTGACTGAATATGTGGTTCAGTTACATGTCCATGGCACACAGTAAACAGTGGTGCCTAACAGTAGCACTCAAGCAGGGTGGCTCCAGAGCCCTTCCTCTTAACTACTACTTGATTGACAGTTTTTCCTTTTCTACAGAACTCAATGTTCTAAAGATACTTAACACACCCATGATTTCACATGGATGTATAGACAGTAAGGGAACTTTTGCCGAATCTCAGAGACTCCAGATCTCACAGAGCAAGTACATGGAAAGGATGAGATACAAACTCAAATAGTCTCAAATGAAGCCCAGGCTCATTCTCCTAGTCCACGGTTTTCTCCCTAAAGGGTAGCAGAACTCTAAGCCAGCAATCACACTTCTTGGAACTTAGTGTATGAAACGTTTATACAAGGGTACAAAACTATGCATATATAAATGAAAGTTCATTAAAGCCCTCTTTGTAATATGAAAAAGAAAAACTGGTAATGATCTAAATGTCTATCAGTAAGTAAATGGTTCAATCATTATAATACAGACATACTATGACACCTTGTGAAGTGTTTATATGTGCTAACATAGAATGATATTTGTATAGTAGATTTAAAGTGAAAAGAGCAAGTTAAAAGGAGAATTAAAGCCATTATTTTTAAAAATCTTGGTTATAGAATGGGCACAGTTGCTCACACCTCTAATCCCAGCACTTTGGGAGGCCAAGGTGGCTGGATTGCTTGAGCCCAGGAGTTCAAGACCAGCCTGAGCAACATGGTGAAACCCCATCTCTACAAAAATTAACCTGGCATGGTAGTGTGTACCTGTGGTTTCAGCTCCTCGGAAGGCTGAGGTAGGAGGAAACTTTGAGCCCAGAGGTGAGCCATGATCACTTCACTGCACTGCAGCCTGGGTGACAGAGCAAGACCTTGTCTCAAAAAAAAAAAAAAAAAAAAAAAAAGGAAGAAAGAAAGAGAAAAAGAAAAAAAATTGGTTATATAAATGTGTTTTTATTCTTTCAATAAATATGATTAGAGCACTGACTATATACCAAGCACTGCTTTAGAAATTGGGGATGCCATGCTAAGACTGAGTCCTTGCCCCTCATGGGTGGTGGACTGTAGCGAGAGAGAAACTGAACAAGGAAATAATTAAATACTTGCAGATGATTGCAGGTGCCCTGAAAAAAACTAGACAGTGGAGTGGGGGTAGAGTGGCTATTTGAGGTTGTGTAGGAAGGAATATTTGAGGAGGGGCAGTGTGTGCAGATGGAAGAAAAGAGCATTCCAGACAGAGGGGACAGGAAATCGGAGGTCCCTAAATGGAAGGAGCTCACATGGCCTAGGAAGGCTTGTGGGGCATAGGCAATGAAAGGAAGGGGATTGAAAGTGGGGCAGATGCCAGATTTTGTAGGACCAAGGGGTCATGTTCTATTCCAACTGTAATGGAAAGACAGTACAGAAGGCCAAAGCTCATTTTTATTTTGCATTTTAAAACAATCCCTCTGGTTTTCCTTGAAGCCTGGAAATCAATCCAGAAGTGAAAGTGGTGATCTAAGTGAGAGCAGATGGGACTTACACCAGGGCTGAGTATAAGGGCATGGGGAGAAATGATGGCATCTGGGATATATCACATATTCTGGTAGATAGGACTTAACTGATGCATTGGATGTGGGATGTGAGAAGAGACGCCTCAAGAAAAGGCATCTCTGTGAGCAGAATCCCACATCAGGCAGAAATGGTACCCACCGAATGCTCAGGCACGGGGAGGGAGTGCCAGCGACAGTGTGGCTCTGTGGCAGGTCTGTGCAGGAAGCTGTGCCCCCTGCAGCTGGCTTTTTTGGAGGGAGGTCTGGGGCCACCACACTCCCTTCTCTACTGCCTGTACCCATCTTCTCCCTACTGCATCCTCCACTGCGGGCCTTTTCCTACCATCCCCTTCCTACAGGTACCTGATGCTATGACCATGTTACACTCCTGGCCACTCTGCAGAGCTGCCCACTGTCCTGTGCTTTGCACCCATTCTTTGCAGCCTCCTGGAGAACTTTCAGACCCACCCTCCTCTCCTCCCCCCTCCCCTCCCCTCCCTCCCTCCTTCCCTTCCTTCCTCTTAAATATATTTTTAAAAATTGGAGATGGGGATCTCACTTGTTGCCCAGGCTGGCCTCCAACTCCTAGGCTTAAGTGATCCTCCTGCCTCAGCCTCCCAAAGTGCTGAGATTCAAGGAGTGATCCACATCGCCTGGCTGGAACTTTTGTTCTTGATATAACTAGTCAGATTTAGAATTTTACATTTTTTGTTTTTATATATAAAATGGCATTTTTCTCACTACTGAAACTATCCAGTATATTCATGGCACTTGCCTTCAGGGCATGTTCAAAGCTATGTTCTTGTTCTAAAAATGTTCAGCCGAATCAAATGAAATTTCATATCTCTGTGTACCTGCTATCCATATATATGCCCATCCATCCATCTGTCTCTCTTTCTCTGTTTCTACCTTTCTGTTCTTCAAGCCTACTGTTGTCTCAATGTCTTACCCTTGTATGTAGTGTTGGAACGCAGAGGTTGTCCTATGTCTGAGGACACCTTCTTTTCCACATTTTCACTGTTGCCGTAAATATGACTCTAGGAGAATTTTTAAGACCTAATGTCTGTGTTGAGGATACAGGCAAACACACAGAGTCTCTCACTCTGTTGATGATGGTATAAATTGGTACAATATTTGTGGAAGGCAATGGACAAAATCTATTACATTTTAAAATAGGCAAAAACTGTTTGGTCTCACATTTTCTACTTCTAGGAAATGAGATTAGAAACACATTAACACAAATAAATAGTTGTTTTCAGCAATACTGGTAATTTTGAAAGGAAAAAATATATATTTCCACCATTGTAAGAAATGGTAAATCATGACACAGCCATTCAGTAGAATATTGTGTAGCTATTGATAGCAATAAGATACTGATATAGAAAAAATGCCCAAAATACATTGGATAAGAAAAGCAAGTTGCAGAGCTTGTTTGGTATAATTCCATTTTTGGTTTTAAAAATGTAAATTATATATAAAGGTAGATAGATATTTTAGGTTATGCAAAAAATCAGAGTAAGCCAGGTGTGGTGGCTCACACCTGTAATCCCAGCACTTTGGGAGGCCAAAGTGGGTGGATTGCTAGAGTCCAAGAGTTCAAGACCAGCTTGGGCCATATGACAAAAATTCCATCTGTACAAAAACAAACAAACAGACAAAATTAGCTGGGCATGGTTGCATGAGCCTGTAGTCCCAACTACTTGGGAGTCTGAGATGGGAGGATTGCTTGAGCTTGGAAGGTCAAGAGTGCAGTGAGCTATAATTGTGACGCTGCACTCCAGCCTGGGCCACAGAGCAAGACCCTGTCAAAAAACAAACGAACAAACAACAATGAAAAAAAATCAGAGTAAAATATATCAAACCATTCATAGTATTTCTCTAGAGGTAGTGTGTGTCTGGGGGGCATATGGAGAGAGGGTGAAGGGAATGAGTAGGGTCTGGGTATGTTATAGGAAACTTTTTACTTTATACACTTCTTTGATGTTTATTTTTCAACAAATATATATGACTTCTTTTTAAAAATTAAAGTCATGTTGAGGCTGGGCATAGTGGCTCACACCTGTAATCCAAGCACTTTGGAGGCCAAGGCGCGCGGATCACCTGAGGTTGGGAGTTCGAGACCAGCCTGACCAACATGGTGAAACCCCATTTTTACAAAAAAAAAAAAAAAGTCATGTTGAAAAATTATGTTACCAAAAAGAAACAAAAAAAAGAAAAATATGTTACAAAATCACAACCAGTTTATGAACATTGATATAGTCAAGATACTCTCAGAATGTCTTCCCTACTTGAACAAGTAAAAAGAAGAAGAAGAAAAAGAAGATACAGTCAAGATAGAGAACATTTTTCCATAACCACAAGGATGACTCATGTTGACATTTATAGCCACACCCACTTCCCTCTCACCCTATTCCAGCTTTAATTCCTGGTAACTACTGATCTGTTCTCCATTTCAAAAATGTTATATAAGAGGAACCACACAGTATGTAACCTTTTGGGAATTAGCTTTTTTGTCCACTAAGCATAATTCTCTGGCTATTCCTCCAGGTTATTCATGTATCAGTTCATTCCTTTTTCTTTTCTTCTATTTTTTTTTTTTTTGAGAGGGTCTTGCTCTGTTGCCCAGGCTGGAGTGCAGTGGCACCATCTCAACTCACTGCAAACTCTGCCTCCTGGGTTCAAATGTTTCAGCCTCCTGAGTAGCTGGGATTTACAGGTGTGAGCCACCAAGTTCATTCCTTTTGGTTGATGAATAGTACTCCATGGTGTGGATATATCATAGTACATGCAATCATTTGTCATTGATGGCCATCCGTGTTGTTTCCAGTTTTGGACCCTTATGAATAAAACTGCTTTAAGTGTTCATGTACAGGTTTTTTGTGAACATGGTTTGTTATCCCTGTAGGATGTTTGCCCACATGTGCAATTGCTGGGTCATATGGTAGTTGTATATGTAGTCCTTTAATCCACAAAGCTGGTATGGCTCTCATTTATTTGGATCTTCTTTGCTCTTTGTCAGTATTTTGTAGTTCCAGCATACTAGTCTCGTGTTTTGTTAAATTTGCACCTAAGCATTTTATTTTTTGAATGATTGTAAATAGTAGGTTTTTTTTTTTTTTTGAGATGGAGTGTCACTCTGTCACCCTGGCTGGAGTGCAGTGGCATGATCTCAGGTCACTGCAACCTCTGCCTCCCTGGTTCAAGCAATTCTCCTGCCTCAGCTTCCTGAGTAGCTGGCATTACAGGCACACGCCACCATGCCTAGCTAATTTTTCTATTTTTAGTAGAGATGGGGTTTCACTATGTTGGCCAGTCTGGTCTTGAACTCCTGACCTCACATGATCCACCTGCCTCAGCCTCTGGCAGGTTATGAGCCACTGCTCCTGGCCAGTATTCTATTTTTTAATTTCAGTTTTCAAATTTATTGCTAGTATGTAGATGTATTGACAATGATTGTATTAATTGATTTTTAAAAACTGAACTAGCCTTGCATCCTTGGAATAAACCTCACTTCTTTTTTTATATTGCTGAATTATTTTTGCTAACATTTTGGTAAGGACATTTGCGTCTATATTCATGAGAGGTATTGATCTGCAGTTTTCTGTTTTTGTACTGTCATTGTTTGGCTTTGGTATCAGGGTATACTAGCTTCATAAAATTATTTGGGGAGTATTCCCTCACTTTCTATTTTCTGGAAAAGATTGAGTAGAATTGCTGCTAATTCTTTAAATTTTTTATAGCATTCTCCAGTGTAGCCGTCTGGACCTGGGGATTTCCTTTCTGGGAGTTTAAAATTTTGACTTAGTAGTTATAGGGCTATTCAAATCACCTATTCCATATTGGGTGAGTTGGGGTAGTTTGCATTTTTTGAAGGGTTGATCCTTTTCATTTCAGTTGTCAAATTTATGTATGTAAAATTCCTTTATATTCTCTTATGATCATTTTGATATATGCATGGTCTGTAGTGATAGTCCCTCTTTCACTCTTGATATTTGTATCTTTTCTCCTTTTTCTTTGTCAGTCTTGCTAGCGACTCATCCATTTTATTCATCTTTTCAAATAACCAGCTTTATTTTATTGTTTTTTCCTATTGCTTTTTGTTTTCAATTTTACTGAATTCTGCTCTTGTCTTTATTATAGGATCACTTCTATTGGTTTTGGTGTTCATTTTTCTGATTTCTTTCTCAAGCTTCTTAGGTTTGTAGCTAGATTATTGATTTCAGGCTTTTTATCTTTTCTATTAGAAGTATTCAGTGCTAAAAAAGTTCTTTTCAGTGGCGTCCCACAAATTTTGATATGTTGCATTTTGACTTTTATTCAGTTTAGTATATTTTAAAAATTTCCCTTGAAACTTTCTCTTGTCCCAGGAGATATATAAAAGTTTGTCATTTAGTTTCCAAGTGTTTGGAGATTTTCCATTTTTCTATGATTATTTTTTTCTGTTTTTTTTTTAATTATTTTATTTTATTTTTCTCTGTGATCATTTTTTAGTTTGATTCCATTATGATTAGAGAATATACTCTGTATGATTTAAATTCTTTTAAATTTCTTGAGTTTTTATTTTTTAAATGACACAGAATAGTTTTTTTTGATATGTTGCATTGGCACTTGAATGTGTATTCAGCTATTGTTGGATAAAGGGCTCTCTAAATGTCAGTGAGATCTTAGTATTGATGGTGTTGAGTTCTATATCTGTCCTGATTTTTCTGTCTTGTTTCTCTATACACTTTTGAGACAAATTTAAGTCTCCAACCATAATTGTCTATTTTTCTTTTTAATTCTTTTAGTTTTTGCTTCACAAAACATTTAGGATTGCTATGTCTTCTTGGCTGGACTTACTTTTTTATTATGATGTAATGCCCTCTCTGTCCCCTGGTAATTTTTTTTTTTTTTTTGCTTTGGAATCCACTTTATCTAATGGTAGCATGGCTACTCTTACGTTCTTTTGATTAATATTTTCATGGTATATTGTTTTCCATTCTTTTACTTTAAAAAACTATAATGTTATATTTGAATTAAATGTCTAGTAGGCAACATAGAATTGGGTATGTGTTTTAATCCCTCTGCCAATCTCTCTTAATTAGAATATTAAGACAATTTTTTTTTTTTTGAGACGGAGTTTCGCTCATGTTACCCAGGCTGGAGTGCAATGGTGCGATCTCAGCTCGCCGCAACCTCCGCCTCCTGGGTTCAGGCAATTCTCCTGCCTCAGCCTCCTGAGTAGCTGTGATTACAGGCACGCCTCACCATGCCCAGCTAATTTTTTTGTATTTTTAGTAGAGACAGGGTTTCAACATGTTGACCAGGATGGTCTCGATCTCTTGACCTCATGATCCATCCACCTCGGCCTCCCAAAGTGCTGGGATTACAGGCGTGAGCCACTGTTTTCATGTTTTAAGACAAGAGTCTCACTATGTTGTCCAAATAAAGTCTCAAACTTCTGGGCTCAAGCAATCCTCCCACC